AAAAAGTCTAGGGCCAGATGGCTTGATTGTTGAAATCAATCATGCATTCAAAGATTTAATACCAACTCTTCCTAGCTTCTTTCAAAAATTGAAGAAGAGGCAATACTCCCTAACTCATTTAATAAAGTCAAAATTACTCTGATACCAAGCCAGTCAAGGACAACACACACACACACACACACACACACACACACACACACACACACACACACACACACAAATTACGCTCCAATAGCTCTTATGAACATAAATGTAAAAGTCCTGACCGAAATACTATCAAATGAAATACAACTATACATTAAAAAGATCACAAATCATGATCAAGTGGGGTTCATTCCAGAGATGCAAAAATGGTTGAAAATTTGTAAATCAATCAACACAATAGATCTAATTAATAAAATAAACTATACAAATTATATGATAATTTGAATGGATGCAGGAAAAAAATTTGATATGATAAAACATCAATTTATTATAAAAATCACTCAATATTGCCCGGCTGGGCATGGCTCAACAGTTGAGCGTCAACCTGGGATCCAGGTGATCAGGGTTCGATTCCCGGTCAGGGCACATGCCTGGGTTGCAGGCTCGATCAATGACTCTCTCATCATTAATGTTTCTATCTCTCTCTCCCTCTCCTTTCCTTCTCTGAAATCAATAAAGATATATTTAAAAAAATCACTCAATAAAGTAGGTATGAAGGAAAAATACTGTGAAATAATAAAGGCGATATATAACAAAACCTCAGCTAACATTATAGTCATTGGTGAAATCCGGAAGCATTTCTTCTAAGATAAGGAACAAGATAAGAATGTCCAATCTCACTAATTCTACTCAATGTAGAATTGAAAGTCCCAGCCACAGCAATCAAAGAAAAAGAAATAAAAAGCATCCAAATTGGGAACAAAGAAGTAAAACTTTCACTATTTGCAGATATGATTCTAAATTAAAAAACAACAACAACTCCACAAAAAATCTATTAGAACAATAAGCATGTACGTTAAAGTTACAGGATTCAAAATCAATATATAACATCTGTTGCATTCCTATATACTAACCACAAAATATTAGAAAAAAATGAAAAAAATCCCATTTACAATTGCAACAAAAATAATAAAACACCTACAAATAATCTCAGAGAAGGTAAAGAACCTGCACACTAAAAACTATAAGACATTATTGAAAGAAATTGAAGACATAAAAATGAAAAGATATTACTAGTTCATGTATTGGAAAAAGTAGCAATGTTAACGTGACTATATTACCAAAAACAATATACAGATTTTTTTGTTGTTGTTTAAAATATTACAGATGTCCCTTTATCTCCCCAATGATCCAATCCACCCCATTTCACCCCCCCTTGCCAGTGCCTCTTTACACCATTGTCCATGTCCTTGGGTTGTACATATATGCATATAAATTCCTTGGTTAATCTCTCCCCCTCCACCCACCTGCCCTCCTCCATCCCTCTGTAATTCGTCAGTCTGATCAGTGCTTCCATGTCATTGAATCTATTCTATTTATCAGTTTATTCAGTTCTTTAGATTCCACATATAAGTGGGATCATGTGATGTTTGTCTTTCTCTGCCTGACTTATTTTGCTCAGCATAATATTCTCCAGGTCCTTCCATACTGTCCCAAAGGGTACAAGGACCTTCTTCTTTACATCTGTGCAGTATTTCATGGTGTAAATATCCCACAGCACTTTTATCCACTCATCTACTGATGGGCACTTGGGCTGTTTCCAGATCTTAGCTATTGTAAATTCCACTGCTATGAACATAGGGGTGCATATATTCTTTCTGATTAGTGTTTCAGGATTCTTAGGATATATTCTTAGAAGTGGGATCACTGGGTCAAAAGGCAGCTCCATTTTTAAGTTTTTGAGGAACCTCCATACTGTTTTCCATAGTGGTTGCACTAGTCTACATTTCCACCAGCAGTATACTAGGGTTCCCCTTTCTCCATATCCTCGCCAGCATGAGTCGTTTGTTGATTTGTTGATGGTAGCCATTCTGACAGGTGCGAAGTAATGCCTCATTGTTTTTTTAATTTGCACCTCTCTGATGATTAGCAATGTTCAGCATTTTCTCATGTTTCTTGGCTACCTGTATGTCCTCATTGGAGAAGTGTCTGTTCAAGCCCTTTGTCCATTTTTTAATTGGGTTGTTTGTCTACCCCTTGCTGAGTAGTATGAGTTCTTTGTATACTTTGGAAATTAGCCCCTTATCAGATTCATCCTTGGCAAATATGTTTTCTGAGACTGTGAGGTTCCTTTGTATTTTGCGGCTGTTTTCTTTTGCTCTGCAGAAGCTTTTTAGTTTGTAGTCCCATATGTTCATTTTTTTCTTTTGTTTCTCTTGCCCTAGGAGATGTATCAGTGAAAATTCCACGACATGGGATGTCTGTGAGTTTATTGCCTATGTTTTCTTCCAGGACTTTTATAGTTTTATGACTTCCATTTAAGTCTATTATCCATTTTGAGTTTATTTTTGTATATGATGAAAGTTGGCCATCTACTTTTATTTTTTTGCATTTACTTGTCCAATTTCCCCAACACCATTTATTGAAGAGACTTTTTTTTCCCCTAAGGTTGTCCATGGTGTATTGATAATATTACAGCAGAAAGATTCAAATGGCTCCACGTGGTGTTTTAAAATTCATCCCGACTGTAGGCTGAGTGAGCTGCAGGTTGGACAGGCTGCCAAAATTCAAGAGCTTCAGCATATCCTTCATGTTAGGGTCAGCTTCAATGATCTCCTGATCCAGAGCTGAGACCTTGGGTATGTAATGGTCTCTCCTCTGTCTCTCCTCTTTCTGCAGCTTGATGGAGATGCCTCTCACAGGGCCTCTCTGGAAGCGCTTCATTAGGTGTGTGACGTACCCATGATCTTATTCCAGAGCTTCTTGCTGAGAATGATGGCGATCTCCTCACACAAGTGCTTGTTGGTGTTGAAGTCATTTACCAGGCACATGTAGTACTTCCTGATCATGCCACTGGCTGCCTTCTTCACGGTCTTGGTGCAAACGCGGCCCATCTTGGCGGGTCCCTGGTGAGAGAGCAAAGAGACTGTCTTTACTCCATTGTACGTTCTTGCCTCCTTTGTAAAATATTAACTGGACATAATGGAGTGGATTTATTTCTGAAGTTTCTGTTGTGTTCCATTCATCAATATATCTGGTGTTGTACCAATACCAGGGTGTTTTGATTACAATGGCTTTGTAGTGCAGTTTGATATGCTGTAAAGTGATCTCTCCCACTCTGTTCGTTTTTATCAAGATGGCTGCGGGTATTCAGTGTCTTTTTTGCAATATAAATTTTTGAAATGCTTGTTCTAGATCTGTGAAATATGCTATTGGTATTTTAATAGGGATTGCATCAAATTTATAAATTGCTTTGGGTAGTATGGACATTTTAATGATATTAATTCTTCCATTCAGTGAGCACGACATATTCTTCCACTTGTTTATATCATCCTCTATGTCTTTTTTCAGTATCCCGTAGTTTTCCGAGTACAGGTCTTTTACATCCCTGGTTAAGTTTATTCCTTGGTATCTTATTTTTTTAGTTGCAATGGTAAATGGTATTGTTTTTTAGTTTCTCTCTCTGAAAGTTCATTGTTCCTGTATAAGAATGCCATTGATTTCCCGATAATGATTTTGTATCCAGCTACCATGTCAAATTCATTTATCAAATCTAGTAGTACTTTAATGGAGTCTTTAGGGTTTTCTATGTACAATATCATGTCATCTGCAAATAATGAAAGTTTTACTTCCTCCTTTCCAATTTGGATACATTTTATGTTTTCTTGCTGTCTGATGGCTGTTGCAAAGACTTCCAGTACTATGTTGAATAAGAGTGGTGAAAGTGGATATTCCTGTCTTGTTCCTGTTTTTAAGGGAAATGGTTTCAGTTTTTTAATATTAAGTTTGATATTGCCTGTAGGTTTGTCATATATGGCCTTTATTATGTTGATGTATGATCCCTTTGTTTTCACTTTGCTGAGAGTTTTTATCAGAAATGGGTGCTGGATTTTGTCAAAGGCTTTTTCTGCATCTATTCATACGATCATATGATTTTTCCCCTTCATTTAGTTTATGTTGATGTATCACATTTATTGATTTGCGGATGATATACCAGCCTTGCGTCATCTGAATAAATCCCACTTGATCCTGGTGTATAATCTTTATAATGTATTGCTGGATCTAGTTTGGTAGTATTTTAGTGAGGATTTTAGCATGTGTGTTCATCAGGGATATTGACCTGTAATTTTCTTTCTTTGTAGTGTCTTTATCTGGTTTTGGGAATAGGTTGATGCTGACCTCATAAAAAGCATTTGGAAGTTTCCCCTCCTCTTAAATTTTCTGGAATAATTTGAATAGAATAGGTGTTAATTCTTCTTTGAATGTTTGGTAAAACTCACCTGTAAATCCCTCTGGTCCAGAACTTTTGTTTGCTGGGAGTTTTTTGATTACTGCTTCAAATTCAGTAGTTGTTATCAGGCTATTCAGGTTTTCTGCCTCTTCCTGATTCAGCTTTGGAAGATTGTATGCTTCTAGGAATTTGTCTATTTCACCCATGTTGTCCAGTTTGTTTGCACATAATGGCTTTTAGTATTTTCTCATGATCCTTTGTATTTCTGTTGGGTTGGTTGTTTTATCATCTCTTTCATTTCTGATTTTATTTATTTGGGCCCTCTCTCTTTGTTTCTTAATGAGTGTGACTACAGGTGAATCGATCTTATTTATCTTTTCAAAGAACCATCTCTTGATTTCATTGGTTTTTTGTATTATTTTTTAGTCTCTATGTCATTAATTTCTGCTCTGATCTGTATTATTTCCTTTTTTCTACTTCCTCGGGGCTTTTCTTGCTTTTCTCATTCTAGTTATTTTAGCTGTTTTGTGTTTAGCTTTTTTTTGTTTCTTAAGATAGGCCTGTAATACTATGAATTTTTTTCTCAGGACTGCTTTCATTGTGTCACATAGATTTGGCGTTGTTGTCTATTCATTTTTGTTTTTTTTTTCATGAAGTGTTTGATTTCTTGCTTGATCTCATTGGTAACCCATTCCTTATTTAATAACACACTATTTAGCCTCCATGTTTTTGAATATTTTTAAGTTTTTTTACAGTGGTTGATTTCTAGTTTTCTGGCATTGTGATCCAAGAAGATGCTTGATATGATTTCAATCTTCTTGAATTTGTAGAGGCTTGCTCTGTGCCCTAACATGTGGTCTATTTTTGAGAATGTTCCATGTGCACTTGAGTAGAATGTGTATTCTGCTGCTTTGGGACAAAATGTTCTGTAAATGTCAATTAAATCCATTAGGTCTAGTGAGCCATTTAAGGGCTGTGTTTCCCTGTTGATTTTTTGTCTTGATGAACAGCCCAATGCTAACAATGGGGTATTAAAATCCCCCACTATGATTGTATTGCTGTCAATCTCCCCCTTAAAGTCCACTAAGAAGGTTTTATATATTTAGGTGCTCCTATATTGAGTGTATAAAGGTTTATACAGGTTATTTCCTCTTGTTGAATTGATCCCTTTAGTATTACATAGTGACTATCTTTGTCTCTTGTTATGGTCCTTGTTTTGAAGTCTGTTTTGTCAGAAATGAGTTTTGCTACTGCAGGTTTTTTTTTCTTCTTTCCATTTGCATGGAATATTTTTTTCCTCCCCTTCACTTTAAGCATGTTTGAATTTTTTCTCTCTCTTGTGTCTCTTGTAGACAACATACATTTGGGTCTTGTTTTTTTTGTTGTTTTTTTTTTATCTATTCAGCTACTCTATTTTTTTTTTATTGGACCATTTATTCCATTTATATTTAAGGTTACTAATGATATATATTTATTTAGTACCATTTTCCCTCTTTATGTTGATGTACCTTTCTCTCACTATTCCTTCTTTTTCTTAAAGCAGTCCTTTTAGAATTTCCTATAATGCTGATTTGGTGGTACTGAACTCCTTCAGCCCTTTTTCTCTGGGAAGCTCTTTATTTCACCTTCAATTTTAAATGATAGCCTCGCTGAATAAAGCAATCTTGGTTGCATGTTCTTGCTTTTCATTACTTTGAGAACTTCATGCCACTCCCTTCTGGCCTGAAGAGTTTATGTTGTGAGATCTACTGTTAGCCTTATGGGTGTTTCCTTGTAGGTCACTGCTTGTCTCTCTTTTGCAGCCCTTAATATTCTCTTGGTCCTTGACATTTGCCATTTTAATTATGATGTGTCTTGGAGTGGGTCTCTTTGGCACCCTCCTGTTTGGAACCCTCTGTGCTTCCTGAACTTGTGTGGCTGTCTCCCTTGCCAGCATAGTGAAGTTTTCTGTCCTTATTTCCTCCACCAAGTTCTCTAACCCTTGATCTCTTTCCTCCCCTCTGGCACCCTTATAATGTGATTGTTGTTTCAGTCCATGTTGCCCCAAAGCTCCCTTAGACTGTTCTGCTTTTAAAGTATTTTTTCTTTTTTCTACTCTGATTGAGTGATTTTTCCTACCTTGTCTTCTAAGTCTTTTATTCTATCCTCTGCTTCATTGAGCCTGATTATAATTCTTTCCAGTGTATTCTTGATATCAGATACAGCATTCTTTATTTCTGTATGATTTTTGTGCGTGTTATGTATCTCTTTTTTCATGTTTTCAAGAAGTTCCTCAATCTTACATCTAGTGCTTTGTTGTTCTCATTAATTTCCTTGAGCATCTTTTTTTTTTTTTTTTTAAAATATATCTTTATTGATTTCAAAGAGAGGAAAGGAGAGGGAGATAGAAACATCAATGATGAGAGAGTCATTGATTGGCTGCAGCCCGCAACCCGGGCATGTGCCCTAACCGGGAATCGAACCCCGATCGCCTGGATCCTAGGTCAACACTCAACCGCTGAGTCATGCCCAGCCGAGCTCCTTGAGCATCTTTATAATCATCATTCTGAGCTCTGCTTCTGATAACTTGCTTAACTCCATCTAATCAAAGTCTTTTTCTGGAAATTTTTCCTTTCTTTAATTTGGGGATTGTTTCTTTGTCTCCCCATTTTGGTGACTCTTAGTGTTTGTATCTATATATTAGATATATTTGCTGTCTCCTAGTCTTATGGGGAGGGATTTTTGTATTTTGAAACTGGTGGATCCCAGAGATGTGTTTTCCTTATACTTCTGAGCTCTTTGCTCTAGGCATGTCCCCTTTGTGGGTTCTTTGGGTTCTCCTGTTGTGGTTGGGTCTAGATTATTGTTGGCTGGTCCTTGGGAGGACTTTCCTTTCAGGTTGGCTAGCTGTGTGTCTCAACCCTAACCTTATCATGTAAGCTGTTGTATGCATGCTGGCAAGGCAGGACAATACACAGCTAAATTTCCAGGAAACAAGGGGTATCTTACAAAATATCTTGACAATCACAATGAAAATAATCCAAGTGAAAATAGAACTGGGAGAGTGAATGGAGAACACAAATTCTAGAGAGAGAGAAAAAACAGAGAGTAAGAAAAGTAAAACTTAGAGGGAGAAAAGTATATTGCTGTCAATAGTGACAAAAATTTAGAACATAATAATAAACTAAACTAAAATGTAAAAAATGGAGAAGCTACTGGGAGATAAAAGAGGCAGAGATAAGATTCTGAAAGAAGGGCCAGCAAAAAATTGAAAGAGAATAGGAATAAGATAATAGTTGAAAATAAAAAAATAAAAGTACAGTAAAAAGAATAACAGAAACTAACAATCAACCAAAAAGACAGGAAGAAAAACCAAAACCAAAAAGGGAGAAAAACAAAAGAAAGAAAGAATTGAAGAAGAAGAAGAAGAAGAAGAAGAAGAAGAAGAAGAAGAAGAAGAAGAAGAAGAAGAAGAAGAAGAAGAAGGGTTATGCCAATGGATTGATAGGAGAGAGAGAGATAGAGCCAGGGCAGGGAGGGAGTCCAATAAGAGATAGGTAGGAAACTATAGAGAAAAGCAGTAAACTTTTTGGTTATAATGATAAAATTCCAGCAATTATGCAGGGAATATCAAGAAAATCTTGATAGCAGAAGTAAGGATAAAACAAAACAAAGCAAATATAC